AAACACGAAGTTTTTCATCAATGTATCAAAGGTCATTGGCATGATAACAACCTAAATTATTTAGAAGTTGATGGTCAACAATTGATGGAAGTATTGGAGTTAAAAAAATGGGGTAGCAGAGTATTTTGAAAAGTTGTTTTTAGAAGAGAATTGGGAAAGACCACAAATTGATGAAGTTGAATTTAAGCAAATATTAGTAGAACAGAGTGTTATGTTAACTTCCTAGTTTTTAGTTGGTGAAGATAAGGAGGTAATATGGGGGTGTGAAAGCTCAAAAATTTTTGATCTAGATGGTTTTAAATGTGGCTTTGTATAGAAGAGGTGGACAATTGTGAAGGAAGATGTTTTACCATTTGTATTAGAACTCCAAAAGAATGGTAAACTTGTGAAGGGTTCTAAGGCATCTTTCATGGTTCTAATCCCCAAGAAAGAGAAGCCAGTGAAGATTGAGGATGACAAACTGATCTCTTTGATTGGTTGTATGTACAAAATTATTGTGAAATTGTTAACTCACAGACTAAGGTGATGGAAAGCTTGGTAAGCAAGAATCAGTTGGCATTTATACAAGGAAGGCAATTAATGAATAGTGTGGTTGTGCCGAATGAAACTATAAAGAGATAAATTAGTAGAAAAGAAGTTCTTTCATTTTTAAAGTTGATTTCGAGAAGGCATATGACAAAGTGTCTTAGGAATTTTTAAGCTACATGCTCAGTCCTATGGGGTATTATGTGGTGTGGAGGGGATGGATTATAGAATGCTTAAGGTCAAGCACAATGCCTATTTTGATAAATGGCAGTCCAACAAAAAAGTTTCCAATGTGCAAAGGTTTGAGACAAGATGGCCCACTTTCTCCATTTTTGTTTCTTATTGTTGTTGAAAGGCTTTTTGGGATGATAAGAACTACAATGGAAAAGGACTTATTTAAAGGTGTTGCATTTGGCTCTAATGGACTATTAATCTCCCATCTCCAATTTGTGAATGAGACAATTCTATTTGGCAAAGCGTTTGAGGAAAACATAAAGGCTGTAAAAAGTATTATAAGGACTTTTGAGGTTGTATCCAACCTTGAAGTCAATTATACTGAGAGTATATTGCTTGGGTTGAATGTGGAGGAGGAAACAAAGATGGTGTTGGGCTTATTTCTTAAATTGTAAAATAGGCAAATTTCTAATGACTTATTTGGGATGTTGATTAGAGCTAGCCTTAGAAGGAATGACACATGGAAGGCGCTTGTGGACAAAGTTGAGAAGAAGTTGTCTAGTTGGAAGAATAAGCACCTTTCCCTGGGGGATGTATTGTTCTTATTCATTTTGTGTTGTCTAACCTTCTTGATTTCCTTATGGCTACATACCTTTTACTTGTTGATGTGATTAAGAAAATTGATTGCTTAAGGAGAGCTTTTTTATGGGGAGGGTGTGGGGATAAAAGAAAAAATTGCATGGATATGGTCAAATAAAGTGTGTAGGCCCAAAAAACATGGTGGCTTGTGGATAAAGGATCTTAGGATGTTGAATGTGGCTTTACTAGCCAAATGATGGGAAAGATTAGCTAATGAGAGGGAAGGACTTTGGAAGAGAGTTCTAAGGGAGAAATATGGTGGATTATGGGGAAATTAAGTTAATTGGGTAAGGCAAGGAAGTGGGATGGGATGTAGATGGTGGAGAGATATTTGTAAAATTAATAAGCTTATTGAGAGCAAACAAAATTGGTTGAAATTGGGATTTAAACTAGTTTTGGGGAAAGGTTCAAATATATCGTTTTGGAAGGATGAGTGGCTAGGATTTGTCATCTTAGGTAACACTTGTCCTCATTTGTTTTCTTTGCCCATAGATAAACAAATCACAGTGCAAGATATTTGAGAATGGATTGAGGATGAATGGAGTTAGAAACCAAAATGGAGAAGGAAGTTGCTAATGTGGGAGTAAGATCAAGTAAAACATCTATTGCAACTATTGAACGACACATAGCCAAGGAAAACCATTAAGGATAAGTGGTACTGAAGACATGCAAATGAAGGACTATATACTATACAATCTACACACACTTTCCTAGCCACAAATAGTATAGGGAAGGAAATCATCCATCTTTGGAAATGCTAGAACTCTCTTGTACCTAAAAGATATGTGCTGTTAATTGGCTGTTAGTACAAGGGTGAACATTATGCAAGGAAAACTTGTTGAAAATAAAAATTATCAAATAAGAAGATGAGACAAGGTGTCGTTTATGTGGGAAAGTGAAAGAAGAAGAGAATCAGTTAATACTTTCCTATGAACTTGCAACCAAGGTATGGGTGAAATGTTTTCACTAGTGGAAGATAACTTACATCATGCATAACAATTGAAAGATGTCTTCAACCAACATGCATGGGCAAGTAGAAATCATAAAGGGTGGTAGGTGGTTTGGTTTGCCTTTATTTGGTCATTGTGGATAACAAATGATACAATTTTTGCAACTAAACATGTGATGCCAGAAACATAATTTGAAATGATCCAAAAGTAGCTTTATTACTAGATTAGTGGCAATTGTGATGGATGGCAATACTCTTACTAAGATTGGTGTCAGATTCCTAAAAGGTGCCACATTCTAAAACACTATTGAAGTTGGAAGTAGGTAGGGCTGGGTGCACATGTGGGCAATCGACTGGTTGCCTGACAATCACACCAGAATTGGGCTTGTGGTGCGGGTACAAATGAGCTTTGGGCCCAAGGAACGGTCTCATGCATCAACTGTTTATAATTAGTGTGGGGTTCAATTCCAAGCCCAACAATCAAACAACCGAATAATAAACCCAAAAACCCATATTATTGTTCAGGAAAATCTAAAATATATGCATTCTAAAAGCAAACCCTAATTTGAGTAATTTCTTTCATCCATTCCCTCCTAGCCTTCCTTGAAATTTTCATCTACCCACATTCTCCAGCCTCCAACTCTCTACCAAAACCTTTCCCCCCACCCTAATTTAGAAATTTTCAACCATTCCCTCTAATTTTCAAATGGAATATCTTTAATCTCTCATATTTCCTTCTCACTTCACTTTCACTTTCTTTTTTCTCACTTCCTCTCCTCATTTGCTCCCTTTCAAAGTCGGCCAAGATCTCATGTTCTCTTTATTGTAAACCTTCTTCATCATCCATCTCTAACCCCAATCTACTTTGGCTGCAGAATCTTTGTAGTGCATCACCAAAACTCTAAAATCAAAGCTCTATTAAGGTCTCTTGTCTCTCTCTTTCCTGATCTCTCCTTCATGACCACCACATGCAGCCTCAATTGTTGGCGACCATTGCATGTTTCAAGGTTACACCTTCTCTCTATTTAATATATGTGTGTCTTCAGTTTTTTTTTTTCAATTTTTCTTTTGCTAAATAGATTTTATAATTTAAATTCATGTAATAACTAATAAGGCATTTCTTTAGTTGCCAACCTGCCACTACCATTGGTTGCTAGAAACTAGGTTTCTTTGGCTAGTTAGTGTCCCTTTATTTTATCTCATTCCAACCAACAAATTTGATTTCTTTAGGAAATCGTCGCCTTCTCTCTAGCTATACTAAAGTGCCTTCTCAACTGAAAATCCCCAACCAACTCTACCATTATGTTTTCACCACTCCACTCCACTCCACTATTGCCCGTCTTGCCCCTCATAGTAATATCAACTTGGTTTTAGATGAAAATTGTAGAGATTTTTATGGGAAAAATCAAATTAGTTGAATTGAGTTTCTAGCAATTGATGATACAGGGAAAGTTCTTGTGCTATTTATAGAAAAAAAATTTCTCACCAAGAAAACCATTGAGGAAAACGAAAACACAATGAAATCTGATCTAAATTCTCATACTAAAGATAGATAAAAGTTCCTAATTCTATGATTCTAGGTGTCTTCGATCTCGGGTACCATTAGGAAGTGGTTTTTCTTAATCGTATGGGGACTCTAGACGTTAATTGAGTTTTTCTTAGTTGAGTTTTTGGATTTTTTTAATTAAATATCTTGGTTAAACCTACTGTTAAATTTTGAAAAAGTTGGGTTGGTTGTACTTGCATTTTGTTGAAATCATCCAGGAGTTAATAGATGATTTTTGATAGAGCTAAATGGGCTGAATAAGGTTTAAAATGGAGGAAGTGTTTGAATTTTTAAGATTCTTTTCTGAATTTATCTTGATTGACATGGTATATAAGGATCATCTGAAAAGGAAAAATTTAAGGTTAAGAAAAAAACGATGCTTGATTTGTTAGAAAATTAAGATTCTTTTTAATATATTGTTTATAATGCTTATAATTCTAACTCTTAACCCTTTATATTTAATTGGTT